TCCTTGTCAAGAGCACGAACTCCAGAGCCAGCCAGTCAGGTGAACCCTTTTTCTGCTCCTTACCAGCCTGGTGACACTGGACAGGTTACCCAGCTTCTCTCTGCCCCAGTTTTCTCATCTGTAAAGTAAGGACAAAGGCTATTGGAAGGTATAATTGGGAAAATGATGTAAACATGTAGGATAATGCCTCACAGGGAGTAAGCACTCTGTAAATGTCAGCCATCAGCAGAAAAGCATCTTACGGGAGACCCAAGGAAGGGAAGGGTACAGCGTAGGTGGGGGTACACATTCCAGAATGATTTCCCAAGGGAGAGAGAGAAAGAAAAGGTTAGGGCATGAGGAGGTAGGCGGGCTATGAGACTGGAGTTAACAAACTCATGCATTCATGTCCTCATTCATTCATTCAATAAAGGTTTCTTGAATGCCTGCCACGGGCCTCTCAACGCTTTTGCTAACACTTGTGGAGTCTGGAGCAGGAGTAGAAATAGAACTCACATACCATATGTCTGAATATTTAACAGTGGCGAATCAAGCTAAAGATGTGTTAAATGTGTTGTTTTTCTACTCCAACAGAGATGTCTTCAAAAGAACAATAGTAATTGTTTTTATGTCACAAAGTTGGGAAAATGTCAATGATAACCGAATTTAATTATTGCAGTTAACTGAATGTACTTGGATGGTCTGGGAATGTTTAAATGGGTGGTAAAGACAGATAATTCATAAGTTTTATGTATTTGCTCCATAAAATTTTCTTTTTTCTTGCCTTTATTTCATTTGTTGTAATTGAGAAATTCACATAATTTGTGTCTTGTCAACAGGGCTGACAAAAGAGTAAAAAACCATATAATTGTACTCAAAGCATACAGAATTTATATGCATGCAATGTAAAATGTAAATGTAAATAGAATTTTTTAAAATAAAATTATTTTTCATGTTTGTTTTTAAAAAGTTATTCTACTAAAAGCTTTAAACTTATCTATTAAAATAAAAAAAAGATAATTGATAAATATCAAATAGCCAAAATTATTTCAATCTATCTGAGGCTTTTAATTTTGAAATGTAATTAAGTTTCATTAATTTTTTTTTTGAGAGAAAGCATGTGAGTGGGGCTAGGGTGGGTAGGGGGAGAGGGAGAGAGAATCGCAAGCAGGCTCCACACTCAGCATGGAGCCCAATGCGCAGCTCGTTCTCACGACCCTGAGATCATGACCTGAGCCGACATCAAGAGTCAGGCACTCAAGTGACTGAGCAATCTAGGTGCCCCTATTTGTTTATTTATTTAAGTGATCTCTGCACCCAACATGGGACTTGAACTCATGACCCCAAGATTAAGAGTCACATTCTGTACAGACTGTACAGACGCCCCCAACCCTGCAGTTCTTATGTTACTTACTCTGCATATACATATTTAAAAGTAATATGAATAAATATTGCAAAGGGATCCTCAGACTTCATGTGCAACTGTTATGAATTCCACGCTAATCCACAAGAACTCCCAGAACCGCAAACAGGAACATTAATAAGATCAAGAAGATGGACACTTGGGACTTCTGGAAACTCTACTTGCCATAAAATTCTTGCAACATAATAGGTTACATGAGAATCTGTTACATCCCAGGCATTGCAAAAACAATAGATTATACGAGAATCTATTATACTCCAAGGATGTGGCTAACTAATTTGCCTTTCCCAGCTGCAGCACTCTGGGGCTCACACTGTACCGGCCACTCCGAGGCCACAGCCCAGTACAGAGATGCTATCACCATGTGTTTCTAGGCCGTAGACCAAGAGCCACGCTTACCTTTGGTTAGTGTGGATAGCACGTGCCTCAGGTTAACTACAAAATTTGCCTTAGCTTCCTGTGATGATTTTATCAAACAAGAGTATGTTAAATGAACAGTATACAACTCCTTAAACCCTCGAATGGAACTGTGCATAGCCTTCAGCAGACTGTGAAGCAGTTGACTTTGTGTAACACAGGCGGGTGAACTAATCTTGAGAATCTTTCCTCTCGGTGAAGACTTTTATGTCACTAGCCCTGCCTGAAAAAGTGAGTTAATTACTGTGCTGGGAAATGACAGACGTCACTTTCAGAGGAGGTAATGTCTCCGCCCACAGACTATCCAAAAGGTAGATTAGTAAGTAACATTAGTAACATTTAGTTAAATGAAAATAGAGTCCAGTTAAATGTCACACGGCAAAGTTAAACAGAGGACCACATGTAAATGAGGAGGCACCTTGGTTAGATGGGTGACTTTGAAAGTGTTAGGTGATCAGCAATGTCATTTTTATATGGTATGAAAACTCTTACATGAGGCCAATTCTCCTGAAACCAGTGGAGGAGATCCCATAATTATCACAGGTAAAGTGAGTCTCCGAGGACTATCAGAATTTGGGAATAAGTTCTGTGGACAACCCATGCATTTTCCTTCTCTTTGGCTACTTGCCCTGGTTCCCTTACTGATCACCAGCCTGGGAGCTAGGGAAGGAAAATTTTAAAGCAGTAAGTCTTGTAATAACAGTTACTGTTTTCTTGAGACCTACGAGCCAGGTGTCTTTTGGATGAGTCTATGGATGTGGAATGTCCAGAACAGGTAAATTCATAGAGACAAAAAGCAAACTTGTGGTTACCAGGGTCAAGGTTGGGGTGCAGTAGGGAGTGGCTGCTCATGGGTATCTCTGGGGAGTGATGAAAATGTTCTGGAATGATATCCTGATGATAGTTGTACAGCATAGCGAATATCAGTGAATTCTGTGAAACAAGCACTTTAAAATTATAAAATTTATGTCGTGTGAGTTATATCTTAATTTTTTTAAAGGTGACTTCTGGTGAGGTCCCAGTAGTCTGGATAGTGGGCTATAGGATCTAGCTTTCCTTTAGTGGACAACAGGTAGCCACTGAAAGTTTCTAAGGAGGATGGTGGCATGATAGGGGTTGTGGAAACATGTAAAGTGCTTACCGCAGAGCAAGTGTTTAATAAACATTAGCTCCCTCCTCCCCTCTCTTCCTCCCCAATTTGACACTAAGCCCTAGAGTGTCTCCTGGGAGAAAATAGGTCTTTTCTGTTTGGATCCTAATGGAAAGCCACCTGATTTAGTTGAAACCACTCTTGTTATAGTTTCCCTGGTTGTCTTCCTAAGGATGCCCTAGCCTCTCAATGCTGGACAGGTTATCTTAGTGTCCCTAGAGCATCTTCCTCCTCTTCCTCCCTCCTCCTCTCCACCCCTCCTTCCTCTCTTTCTCCTGCACTCCTCTTCCTCTTCTTCTTCCTTTTCAATTTTTTTAAGTTTTTATTTGTTTACTTAAGCAATCTCTACACCTTACATGGGGCTTGAACTCAGGACCCCGAGATCAAGAGTGGCATACCCTTCCAACTGGCCCAGCCAGGTGCTCCTTTTCTCCCCCCACCTTTTTAAATTGAAACAATGGTTTTCTTTAAAAAAAAAAAAATCAAAAAACCCTCGTAGTTCTCAACTTTATCCAAAGCCATCCGCCATATAAGTTCTATGTCTTCCTTGACTCCACTTCTCTTCATTTCTCCCTTCTTCTTCCCCCATCTCACCCACAGAGCAAGGAGCTCAGTAGAGCTCTGGTTGCCGTGGGTTCCAATCCCGGCTCCCCATCCTGCTGATTATCTGGCTAGATTCATAGGCACAATGTTCTCATTTGCATAATGCTACTCTAATGATAATGATAATGTCAACTCCTGGGGTTCTTTTGAGGATAGTATTCATTTAAGTGCTTATTAGAGTGATGCCTGGTACATCAGCAGCCTCAGTGATTATGGCTAGAGCATCATATTATTATAGGGCCAGGGGTAGGGTATGGCAAAAGTACTGACATTTCTTTAGAAGTGGATTTCATCCCTCAAATCTCAAATATGTGTAGGACGCATGAAAGGCTTTGACAAGGATTTTAATGACAACATCCCGGTCCCAAAGTCATCTGAGAGATATCCTAATAGTACACACCTGCTTCCAAGCAATGATTTTTTAAGAGCCATTATCAAGGGGGGGTGGGGGCTCTGGGGATTTTGGGGTCAGCAAACAACAAATGGGCGACCTCACAGAGTCGTGTTGGGGATTTCCCATGAGGCCCCGCCCCCAGCTGAGTCACCAAACCCCTGTGTTTGACTTGCAGAGAACGAGAGGCAGAACCTCACTGCTCTGAAGTTGAAGGAGTGGAAAGTTCTTCACCAGCCCTGAGACCTCAAGGTTTGTCCATTTGGGCCAGTCGGGGGAACGGAGTTGGGGTAAGGACAGACGCTTTATTCCGTTTCTCCATGTCTAAGCTTTTTGCCCTTCTAATTTCTAATAAGTTTTATTCCATAGCCTATTAAATAAAGATCAAGCACCTGGCCTAAGGAGATTTCTTACTTCTTAGTTCTGTTACTATATGAGCTTCAAATCTCAAAATGGGCAAATATATGCCAATTAAGAAAATGTGATCATGAGTTGAGCAGAGCGGAGCTTCAGCATTTTAACAACTGGGTGTTGAAATGTTCACATATTGTTCTGACAATGGGGAAAGAGTCATGAGATGTCTCCCCACTGAGCTAGACTGTTAGATAGGACTGACAGATTGTCATTTGAAGAACCCTATCTCAGAGCCAGCAAACAGCTGGCATTGTTGAAATCTGGAAGAAAGGCTAAGTGTCTATGAAAGTCCCCAAAAATTCTTGTTATGGTTATTTCTCCGTTTTGGCAAAACATGTTGGAAAGTGCATGCTTAGATTTTGGCAAACCTGCACAAAGCTATGTGTGTAGTCAGGTTTGTCTTATCATAGAACTGTCCATGCATTTGCCAGCTTTTCCATAATCTCCCATCATTAATTGTTTCTGAAAATCCCCGAGTTATCTTGTGGATGGCATAGGTAATGGTTGAAATGTAGATAATCCTAAAAGGAGAAACCACCTCATTCTTGGAAATTTTTACCTTTTGCAGACCGGTATTTGTGACACCAGCTACTCTTGGAATCTTCTTTGGTCGTATCCTATTGATGCAAGATTTCACCATGGGCAGTGGCTATTACAACATAGTGGCTGCTGTATTATTGGTCATGAATTTTGAGAGGACAAGATCAATACAGGATTCCTGTAGTAAATGCCCAGCTGGTAAGATCCAAATTAATATGTGTGCTTGATCTGTTCTGTTGAACTCATGGTTCAGGTAGTCTAGTAGTCAGGGTTACTAAGTTCTGTTTTGATTTTTTTTTATTCATTCATTTACAAATATTCCTTGCATGCTGTATCTTGGCGTGTGAATGCAGCTGTGTCACTTAATCCCCTGTGCCCCAGCTTTGGGATCTGGGGATCATGAAAGAACCTATCTTATAGCTCTGCTGGGAGGATCCTATGCTAGGTTCTGAGCAGTGCATGGCACAGGGCAAGACCTCAGTAAATGTCAGCCTTATCTGTGAGGACCTGTGCTCAGCCTGGGGAGCACAGCAGGGATTAAGAAGGGGCAGGGGGCTTTGCAGAGTGGGGAGAAGCAGACACATGTACATTTTAGTATCCTGATGAAGGGTGCTGATCTCCTGAATCCCATCACAGGGGTCTCCTGGATCAATCAAGAGAAATTCATTTTTGTTCAATAGTTAAAGGAAACAGTTTTCTTTCTTTTGGTTTATTGCAATATCTATACTTTGTTATTTATAATTCTGTGGCTATGCTAAGGGAAATCTTGCAAAAGTGTAATTATAATTATAAAAGTCAATCAAAATAAAGTGTATCACTGTGCCACCTAGAAACTAATCATTGTTTCTTACTCTAGTTCTCTTGTGAACTTCAGAATGCTTTGGGCGGTGACTGTGCATTATCAAACAGTATACCTATTATCTACCTTCTTAGGGACTTTCTGTGGGAAAAGCGAAGGTCAGATCTGCATTCCTTGTCCTCCAAATAGTTTCTCCAGCACCAGTGGACAAAAGTCCTGTGTCATATGCAGGCGGTGTGAAGGTATGATTTAAAAGATGTATGTTGATCCAGACATGTGTTGGAATGACAGGTTTTTGTTCCCTAGTGTGTTGACCTCTCTGGAGAATGTTAAGTATTAACAGGCTCCTCTGTCACAAGGCAGGTCCAGTAAAATAATCTGCTGTAAAAGCAATAATCTGTAGATTGACCTTTTAAATATTAGAGGACACACTCATTTGATGAGAAAGAAGCATTTAATTAGGAAAATATAAAAATGTCTTCTATAGAGATTTAAAAATGAACTTTATACTTTAAGGTCAACAAGAACATTGTAGGAGTGAGCATGGTTTTTGCGGGGGAGGGTTGTTTTTCTTTTTTTTAGCATGATTTTTACTGCAGAACATCAATTTGCTTCCTGGAGTCAGAGGTCAAGTGTAATATAACTTGGGAAATTTTGTAGGTGTTTTCAGGACCAAGAAGGTGTGTTCCCCCATCAGCAATGCAGAATGTGAGTGCATCTCAGGATTCCACTGCTTGGGGACAGGATGTGCCATGTGTGAACCGGATTGTAAACAAGGTCAAGAATTAGCCAAGGAGGGTAGGTTTGCTCTTCTTCAATCTAGGGCAAGTCTGCTTATCTAGACATACGTCACTAGTTTAGGTCTCGGTCCTTTGACTATAAAGTAACACATAGATGAGTAGAACCTTAAAGTAACATGCAATGAACCACTGAGTCAAGCATATATTTACAAAATTATTTTTCGATCAATGGAAATAATTTGAAACCACATTTGTTATTCACCAGGATCATGCATTTTCATACATTTCATACATTTATACACAATCGTCTATGTACGATTAGAATAACAACTTTAGTTATCTTCGGGTTTTGTTTCCAGAGGCATTGTTGAACAGACTGTGGCGATTGTATTGTAAATGACTTTATTATTGTGTGATTAAGTTCATCACAGGAAAAGTTATGAAATCTTAAAAATATTCCCCTTTTTAATTGTTGCTTTAATTTTTATGCAGGTTGTAAAGACTGTCGCTTTGGGACATTTAATGATCAGAAACATGGCAGCTGTCAACCCTGGACAAAGTACATATAATTTCCTTTTGCTTTCAAAATAGAGAATCTGGGTTAACCTTTTTGGTTTATGTATCTATTTTTTATGAAGTTTTTTTTTTTAAAGATTTGTTTATTTGTCAGAAAGAGAGAGAGAGCACAAGCAGGGAGAATGGAAGGCAGAAGGAGAAGCAGGCTTTCCGTTGAGTAAGAAGCCTGACTAGGTCCTCAATCCCAGGACCCTGGGATCATGACCTGAGTTGAGGGAAGACGCTTTAACTGACTGAGCGACCCAGGTGTCCCTGGGTTAACATTTTTAAAGACAAAGAATGTTATCACTGAAGTTTTAAAAAAATCTGCCTGGGGCGCTGGCTGGTGTCGGTCGGTGGAGCATGTGACTCTTGATCTCAGGGTCATGAATTCCAGTCCCACGTGGACGTGGAACCTACTTAAGTCTATCAGGTATAGGCATAGAACGGCATACAAATAGGCAGCGTGTGAACAGTATGAGGTCGTAGTACTTGGATACACAGAGTGAGCATTTTCTCCAGAAATAATGCCCAGAGCACTTAGCTCAAATTTGCTGGAGCTTTGCTACTGTCTGCCCCGGCTGTTCCGTTCTGTTTCCTTCCAATCTCCTTGCTGCCTCTTGCTTTTCCTCACTGGTCACTGAGCCCATCTTCAAGGGTGCAAAGCCAGCACTGAGAGTGATACAAGAAGGGTAAACTATGTTTTCTACCCTCAAAAACCCAACACCTACTTGGGCAAACAAGATCATCACGGAAGTAAAACAGCCCACGGCATCCCTGGAAATAGGCCTGTTGACCTGTGCGATCAGGAGCAGAGCTGCTCAGAGTGTGGTCTGAGAACAGGCGCTGGTACATTGACAGTTTGTGGCATCTGTGGCAGGAACACGACACACTCTGAGAGTGAGCGTTTAGAAATGTGTAAGGCAACGGACAGAGTCCTGTGTGTCTGTCAACTCATAAAGATTGAGGTCTTGTATTTTGTATGCCTTCGCTCTATTTTTCATTCGATTTTCTTACTAGAAAATCATGTTGATTATTATTTTACATTTAGATTCTTGGGTTTTACAGAAATATTGGTTTGTACAGATTGGGAAAGTTTTTTTTTAAGGTCTTTTAACACAAATAGCTCAGAGAGGTCAATGAGTCTTCATGGAAAGTGGGATTGAACTTGTTTCAGAGGGAGAGTGAGTTTGCATTAGGTAACAGGATGAGGGAAAAGACACAGGACAACGGTGATGGTGATGGCATCGGTGACGGTGATGGTGGTGATAACGGGGATGGTGGTGTTGGTGATGGTGATGATAGCTACCATTTATTGGGATGTGTGGGTTTGGGTTCATAAAGCCCAGCCCCTGCAAGTGTGTCCCTGGGACCATTCGTTTGCTTTTCACAACAGTCCTTGGGAGTAAATACACCTTCTCTTACAGATGAGAAAACAGGCTTAGAGAGATTTTCTTAACCTGCCCATGGTCATTCTGTACAGGGAAAGACCCCGGCCTCAAACCCACATCGGTCTGATGCCAACACATCATGGGATTAGGAACTCCTAACCCTTATCCTAGGTTGTCTGTCCTTCATATATGGTCAAATATGCTTAAGAAATTAAGGGCGAGGGGCGCCTAGGTGGCTCCATGGGTTAAGTCTCTGCCTTCAGCTCGGGTCATGGACTCTGGGTCCTGGGATGGAGCCCTACATCGGGCTCTCTGCTCAGCAGGGAGCCTGCTTCCCCCTCTCTCTCTGCCTGCCTCTCTTTCTGTCAAATAAATTAATAAAATATTTTAAAAGATTTTAAACAAAAAACCATCTATAAAGAAATCGAGGGTGAGAGACTAGCCAGGCAAAACAGTCTGGGGAGAGTTGTGGGACAGGGCTCCCCAGCCTGGGAAGAAAGAAGAAGAATCCAGTGAGTTGGGTAGAATAGGGTGAATTACGGAACTGTGAAAGCTGGAGGAAACGAGCCAGCCAAGTGTATGTTTTCCATAATATCTTTATACCCAGACCCACACATCTTTGTCACTAGGCTACTTTATTGGATGGAAAATGTCAATATTTTTAATTAGAATGACCTGTGCCTAAATTAATTATTTAAACTCTTTTCATTGGGCGGTCTAAGCTGTTCCTTGGATGGAAAGTCTGTACTTGTGAATGGGACGAAGGAAAGTGATGCAGTATGTGGAGCGGCGTTGGCTGACTTCTCTCCAGGTACAACCTCTGCCACCATGCCTGCCCCTGCAAGAGATCCAGGTAGCTGGTTCATTGTTATCAAACCAGAGTGGATGTATTATGGCTATTCTGATTGGAATTTATATCACCCCACTACTGTGATGCCTCACGTCTCTGCCTGCAATGGGTACCTCCTGCATGCCTTCCTTCTTTCATTCTGGCATCAAGAAACCCATCAAAATTTTTCAAGTGTTTGTCACGCAATCTGAGACGCATGTTAGTTATCAGAACAAGGTGAAACTACGCAGACAAACACTCCACCTTTGATAATGTCAGATTAAGGGGATTATAGAGTCCCATATTTTCCATATTCTAGAGAGGCCAAGCCACTTAATTTTTGTGGGCCTCTGGAAAAAAAATTTTTAGGGTTTTTTTTTTTTAAGTTTTCTTATATGCAGGGAAGTTTATTAAGTTAGCTGGTTAGAGATGCCCAAGGCACCACTTCTCCTTGCGATTAGGGATTTACCAATGTAACTATAAATATACGCATATTTGCAAAACTACATATCTGCATGCATTTCTCCTTTTGCTCTTTTTTAAAGGTCATACGCCCCAGATCATCGTCTTCTTCCTTGCACTGACATCGGCTGCTGTGCTGTTCCTGGTGTTGTTTCTAGTGCTCCGTTTCTCTATCCTTAAATGTGGCAGAAAGAAACCCTTGTATTTATTCAAACAACGTAAGACCAATATAAGCATATTCGATATGAGCTCTTTTGAGGCAAAACTTTTTACGATAGAAAGGAAAAGATTCTTTTTTTTTTTTTTTTGGTTAGTATAGCACAGAGGTTATCAAGGAGGGACAGTTTTGTCACCAAGGGGACATTTGGTAATGTCTGGAGACATTTTGGTGGTCACAACCTTGGGGGTGTGGAAGGCACCTAGTCAAAGGAGTTGGAGATGCTGCTTAAATTCTACAATGTACAGGAAAACAGTTACCCACCCCCCCTCCAGCTTTCACCAAAATCTATGATTTAAAGAATTGTCCTTCCCTTCTTCACCCCCACCTACAACACAAATGCCTTGCCAAGAGTGGTGATGAGTAATTAGTGAGTTGCGATGAAGGCGTAATGCATTTTTAAAATATTTTAGACCATTAAAAAAACCCTTTCTATTTTGAAATAATTACAAGTTTTACAGGAAGTTGTAGAGACAGTACAGAAAAGTCTCAGTTGTCGTTCATGGGGGTACATCTTCTGGAACTAGAGCACAATATGAAAACCGGGCAGTTGACCTTGGCACGTTGTGTGTGTCAAGCTGTATGTCATTTGATCACATGTGTAGACTGGCATAACCTCCAGTACAACCAATACAGAAGTATTCTCTCCCCACCAGGATCCCCTCCTGCTGGTCCTCTGGGGTCACATCCACTCCCTCCCTGTTCTTCCTGATAGCATAGGTCTGTTTTTCATCTCTACACTTAAAAAAAAAAAAAAGATTTTATTTACTTATTTGCCAGAGACAGAGACAGAGAGAGAGAATGCACAAGCAGGGGGAATGGTAGGCAAAGGGAGAAGCAGGCTCTCCACTGAGTAGGGACCTTGAGGCAGGACTCGATCCCAGGACCCTGGGATCATGACCTGAGCTGAAAGCAGACACTTAATTGACTGAGCCACCCAGACGTCCCCCATCTCTACACTTTTGTCACTTAGAGAATGTTATATAAATAGAAGCATGCAATGTATAAGTTGATTATAAACCTTTTCAGATTGCCCTTTTTTTTTTAAAGATTTTATTTATTTATTTGTCAGAGAGAGAGGAGCGAGAGTGAGCACAGGCAGACAGAGCGGCAGGCAGAGGCAGAGGAAGAAGCAGCCTCCCTGCCAAGCAAGGAGCCCAATGTGGGACTCGATCCCAGGATACCGGGATCATGACCCGAGCTGAAGGCAGCTGCTTAACCAACTGAGCCACCCAGGCGTCCCCAGATTGCCTTTTTTCACTCAGCTTAATGCCACTGAGATCCTCCCAAGGTGTGATGTGCTTCAACAGTGGACTCTTTTTTTAAATTTTCTTTTATTTTCTTTTTTCTTCCCTTTTACCACTGACCAGCATTCTGTGGCATCGTTGAACCAACCTCTGTTTGTTTGACCATTCACCAATTAAGGGACATTTTGATTGTTTCCAATTTTTAACTGTTGAATATCAAGCCTTTGTGAATAATCACATAGAGGTTATGTGCAGACTGAAATTTTCATATTGCTCACATAAATGCCCAGGAATGCAATTTCTGGGCCACATGGTTTGTTGTTTTAAGAAACTGCCAAACTATTTTCTGGAGGAGTTGTACCATTTAACGTTCCACCAATGGCATATGAGCCATCAATTCTCCTCACCCTTGCCAGCATTTTCTACCGCCACAGTTTCTTACCCAGCCATTTGGAGAGGAATACAGTGATAGCCCACTCTGGTCATCTGCCTTCCCCTAAGGGTACAATATCTTCTCACGTACTTATTTTTTTTTAAGGTTTTATTTACTTATTTGAGAGAAAGAGCAAGAGAGCGCAAGCAGGGGCAGAGGGAGAGGGACAAGCCGACTGCCTGCTAAGCAGGGAGCCTGAAGCGCGGCTCGATCCCAGGACCCAGAGATCATGACCTGAGCTAAAGGCAGATGCTTAACCCGCTGAGCCACCCAGGCATCTCTCACGTACTTATCTTCCACCTGTGTGTTTTCCCCAGTGAAATGTTCTTTCATGTCTTTGGTCTGTTTTCTAATTAGACTTTTGTTTATTTTACTATTGACATTGGAGAGTTCTTGGTACCAGCTAGATGAGTCCTTCAGCATGTGTGTGGTTTGCGTTTCTGCCCACTCTGTTGCTCGACTTTCCTTCCTCTTCATGGAGTCTTCTGCAGAGAAAAGGGTTTTAATTTTGGTAAAGTACAATTCGCCAGGTGTTTTGTGTTTGTTTTTTTTTTTCCCCCATTTATGGAGTCATGTCTGAGAATTCTTCAAGTCCTGGATCACAAAGATTTTTATTTTCTCCCGTGTCATCCTCTAGATGTTTTACATTTAAATCTGTGGTTTAGTTTTAGCTAAGTGTTGCATAAGGTGTGAGAGGTAGGTCAAGAATTTTTTTTTTCCTATGGATGTCCAGTTGTTCTGGCATCATTTGCTGAAAACATCATCCTTCCTTCATTGAATTGTTTTTGTGGCTTTCTTGAAAAACAGTTAGCTATACTGGTGCGGGGGCTATTGCTGGTTTTTCCCTCTTGTTCCACTGATCTGGGTGTTTATTCTCTGCGGGTACCACACTGTCTTGATTACTGTGGCCATAAAACAGGTCTTGAAATTACGTAGAGGGTAGCAGGCTTTTTCCCACTTCATTCTTCTTTTTTAAAACTGTTTTAGCTATTCTAGTTCCTTTGCACTTCCAAATAAATTTTAGGATAATCTTATCTGTAACTAGAAAAAGTCAGCTGGGAGTCTGACAGCAACGGTGGTAAATCTGTATATTAGTTTGGTGAGAAATGATGTCTTTACTATGTTAAGTATTTATGTCTTAACATAGTAAAGACATTTCTTCTATTTCTTTTTCTTTTATTTCTTTCATCTGCATTTTGTGGTTTTCAGCACACCAATCCTGTACATATTTTGTTAAATTTAGGCTTTAGCATGTAAATTTTTAAAAAAATTCCACGTGGTATTTTATCTTAAATTTTGGTTTCCACCCGTTCGTTGTTATTCTGTGGGGATAGCTGATGTTCATAGATTGATCTTGTATTCTGTGATTTGGCTGAACTCACTTATTAGTTCTAGGAGTGTGTTGTAAACTCTTTGGGATTTTACGTGGACTATAATGTCATCTGCAAATAGAGACAGTTTCGTTGTTTCCTTTCCAGTCTGCATTTCTTTTATTTCTTTTCCTTGACTTAACTGGGCTGACTAGAACTTCCAGCACTATGTCGAATAAGATTGAATATCCTTATTCGACAGGACCAGGATTGAATATCCCTGCCTCGCTTCTACTCTTAGGGAAAAAGCGTTCAGTCTTTCACCAGTAAGTATGTTGTAAGCTATAGGTTTTTAGTAGATCTTCTTTATCAGGTTGAGGAAGTCCTTCCTCTATTTCTAGTTTTCTAATATTTTTGTGAAATCACGAATGAGTGTTTAATTTTGTCATATGCTTTTTCTGCATCAATTGATATGATCATGTGACTTCTCTTCATCAGCCTAAGATGGAGGATTACATAGATTCATTTTTGAATATTAAATCAGCCTTGCATCCCTGGACTAAGTTTCACTTGGTCATGGTATATAATCCTTTTTATATACTGCTTAACTCTATTAGCTAATATTTTGTTAAGAATTTTTATAGCTATATTCATGAAGGATAGCAGTCTGTGGTTTTCTTTTCTAGAATTGTCTTTGTCTCATTTTGGTATCAGAGTAATACTGGCTTCCTGAAATAAGTTGGGATGTGTTCCTTCTCTATTTTCTGGAAGAGATTGTGTAGACTGGCATTAATTCTTCTTTAGATAGTTGGTAGAATTCTCTCGTGAAACTGTCTGGACCCAAAGACTTTCTTTTTGGAGATTTTTAATTACAAAATCAATTTCCTTAATAATTACAGGACTGTTCAGGTTATTCATAGTGAGCGAGTTGTGATTGTTCATGTTTTTTAAGGAATTGGTCCATTGCCTCTAAGCTGTGAAATGTATGTGTTTAAGTTATTCATAGTATTCCCTTATTATTTACTTAATTCTCCAAATATAATTGTGGACTTATGTGTTCTCCTTTTCAGTTTTATCAGGTTTAGCTTTATCTATTTTGCAGCTTGATTGTCTGAGGTACACACAGTATTGCTAAATACTGGGTAAATCCTGGTCTTCTGGGTAAAGAGACTTCTTTAAAATTACAGAAGTTCCCTCTCCATGCTGATCATTTTTTTTTGCTCTAAAATCTACTTTATCTTATATTAATATAGCCCTACTTTAAAAAAAAGTTAATGTATACATGGTTTACCTTTTAGCATTCTTTTGCTTTCAACCTAACTACATTTTATATGTTTTTATAAAGATTTTATTTATTTATTTGAGAGAGGGAAAGAGAGAGAGAGAGAGAGAGAGCATGCACATGACTGAAGGGAGGGGCAAAGGGAGAGGGAAAGAGAGAATCTCAGACTCCACACTGATTGCAGATCCAGACACAGGGCTTGATCTCATGACCCTGAGATCATGACCTGAGAAGAAACCAAGAGTCAGACCCTTAACCAACTGAGTCACCCAGGTGCCCCCATTTTATACTTGGAGTGAATTTCTTGTAGACAACTTATATCAGTCACGCTACTAATCTCTGCCCTTTAACTGGTATATTTAAGCCATGTATATTTAATGTAATTATTCATATGTTAGGACTTAAGATACAATTTATTTTTTGTTTTCTGTTTGCTTTCTCTGGTTTTCATTTCCCTGCATTCCTGGGATTACTTGAACATTTTTTAGAAATCCACTTCGATTTGCCTATAGTTTTTTTGAGTGTATCTCTTTGTATAAATCTTGTAGTGGATGCTCTAGTTATTACACATAATTTATCCATCTACTAGTATAAACATTGTAACACTTTGAATAAAGTATAAAAATATTACCTCCTTTTGCATCCTTTTAACCTCCTCCAATTTATAATATACTTATCTTTTTTTTTAAGATTTTATTTATTTATTTGACAGATAGAGATCACAAGTAGGCAGAGAGGCAGGCAGAGAGAGAGAGGAGGAAGCAGGCTCCCCGCTGAGCAGAGAGCCCCACGTGGGGCTCGATCCCAGGACCCTGGGACCATGACCTGAGCCGAAGGCAGAGGCTTTAACCCACTGAGCCAACCAGGCGCCCCTATAATATACTTATCTTAAATATTACCACTACATACTTTGAGAACCATATTAGACACTGTTATAATTTTTGCTTCAACTGTCAAACATAATTTGGAAAACTCAAGGGAAGGAAAGTTTATTGTATCTACCCATATATTTGTTCATTCGTTTTCTTCTTTATTCTTTTCTGATGATCCAAGATTCCTTATTTTATCATTTCTCTTCTATTTAGAGACTTTCCTTTAGCCATCCTTTTAGGGTGGGCCTTCTGGTGACACAAATTCTCTTAAGTTTTCATCTGAGAACGTCTTGATTTCTCCTTCATTCCTGAAAGATATTTTCACCAGGTATTGAATTTGGGCTTCCAGGAGTTGTCACCAGCCCTTCTGGTTAGACGGGGCTGGAAGACATTCTACACAGTAGGTGGGGTTGTGATTCAGCTCCTTGCCTGGAATTGGGCAAACCAGGCACTATGGTGGGCAAAACTCCTTGTTTGAGGGTCTGAGGCAGGCAGATTTGCACACCATCAACTTCCCTGGTCAGGGTGAGCCCTCAACTTGGCTCTGAAGATAAACAAAGCTTCTGGTCGAGATTGCTCCTCAGACGCTGCAAGTATGTACTCAGTCTGCCAAGATCTGTGTGCTGGTTGCTGCAAGCTCCTCTCCCTTCACCACAGTCAGATTCCTAGTGGTGGGACCCTATATATTCCCCTACCTTTCCTGTGGTGTGAGATCAGACTGGGTGCTCCCGTAAAGGGACCCCCCCCCCCCATGCTGGGAGAAGCTGGTGGTTCCCTTTGAGTTCTCTTTTCCCACTGGAGGAGCCAGAGGCTCAGGGAGACCTCTCTGTATGGTGATGCACTGGCCTGCAGGAGGGGCAACGTGGTCAATGGTAACTGCTTCTCTTAACTTCCTAATACAGTCTGTCTTGGTCTCTGTAGTGCTGAGGTGGGGCTTCTGTAGCCCTCATGCCCATGTTCTAGGATTCTGCCAGGGTGTCTTGTTCTTGAATAGTTGTTAGTTATTCTTCTCATGAAGGAGTCATGGTGCCTTCTTGTGATATTACTCCCCTTGGATATTTTTTTTACAGTAAGAAGCATGTAATATTGAGGCAGGCTCTTTTGCTTTGTTGGGCTATAAAAAAAAATCTGTTTAAGATGAGCAGTTGCTTGGGGCTGGGTGGCTCAGTCAGTTTAGCATCCGACTCTTAATTTCAGTTCAGGTCATAATCTCAGAGCTCTGAGATTGAGCCCACACTGGGTTCCACACTCAGCACAGAGTTTGCTCATCCCTCTCCCTCTGCTCTTCCCCCAAGCCCCACTTGCACACACATACACACACACACTCTCTCTCTCTCTCTTTCTCTCCCCCTTTCTTTTGCAAATAAATAATAAATAAATACAATCTTTTTTTAAAAGATGAAAAATTGTTCAACAGTAACACAAATACTTCATGCTAACATGTGAAAGGAAGCCAGGAAGCCAACACACAAATCACTTCTTTAATTGTCGATAGATGGAAGTAGTGGGAGTATCTTTAATATCTTGATGCCATAAGCATTTCACTCAAAAGAACCTGTCTAGTGTGTAATGTGAGTAACCCTCAAGATTAAAATCCATACTGCTGAATTGAAACTATGGTTATGTTTGGGATATGACTAATTTTGTGCTATAGTGATTCATGCTCAAGATTTTGGGCCATCACAGAAAATAAAGAAAATTGCTTTCCAGGACAAGTAAGAGTAAATGGTAAGAAGAAATTGTAAATAATCCTGGGAAAAAGTTCCTATTTGCTATCATCTCTCTTATTGATAAACTTGCTCAAATTAGAGTTGAGCATGGTTGCAACTTAGAGATGTCCTGTGACTGTGATTTACAGAAATTGGATGTTAAATGGTTAAAACAAACAGCAAAAGATAAGTTGCTTTTAAATTACTTTTCAGCATTTATGAGACCAGTACAAACTGCCCAAGAGGAAGATGCCTGTAGTTGCCGATTTCCAGAAGAAGAAGAAGGAGAATGTGAGCTGTAAAGCAGAAATCCAAACCGCCACTGGGCCTGTCTTGAGAAGAATCACAGGAGAAACATGAGTGATCCCACCATCATATCTTTCTAAATCGAAGACACCATCCTAGATAAGACTCAGGATTACCCCTAAGTTTCCTCAAAATGTTAGCAGATTGGCCTTTAAAAATGTACCCCTTTTAGCACATGTATGGGACAGAGCTGGTGGGAAAGGGGCATTTTCTAGATAATGCTTAATAGGCTTCACTAGTTTGTTTTTGAAATCCAAAGAGAATTATGCTTAAAATTACATCATGTAGCCCAATGGTCTGGCTAAAATGACAGTCCAAAATCAATACCACTTTTTTGAGCTAATAGAACATATGACAAAAAGCCGTAAGATGCAAGAAAAACCGCCAACCAAATTTTCCATTGGTTCAGATATTCAATACAATGAGCTCTACTGATGTGAGGGGGGATATTATGACAGTGCCCAGATTTGAGGTCAAGCGAAAAATAGTTCAGAACTTGAGGAAGAGTTTTGGAAAGAGTTCCAATGTCTTTGCACATCTTGTGGTCCCCTCCATCTTCACATCTCCTGCTTTGTACCGCTCCTCTCTGAACTGGGGCTTATGTTTTGGTTCTTTGTTGTTGTTTAAAGTTTTTTTATTTATTACTGAAGTGTAATTGACAAACAACATTATATCAGTTTCAAGTGTACAACATAGTGGCTCCACAATTCTGCACATTACTCAGAGCTCGCCACAGTAAGTACTGTCCCCATCTGTCACCATATGATATTATTACAGTATTACTGACCATATTCCTGATGCTGTACTTTTCATCTCTCTGAATTATTTATTTTATAATTAGAAGTTTGTGTCTCTTAATCCTCTTCATCTGTTTTGCCCAGTTTTGAGATTTAGCTTATGTGTTTTTAATTCTTAAGAACATTAAAAGTAATATCTGGTACATCAAACTCCCACAGGCCGGATTTGAGCGGTCATAGGTCTCTGTATGGCTTATGAGCTAAAAATGATTTCTACATGTTTAAATAGTAAAAAACAAATCAAAAGAAGACTAATATCTCATGACATGAAAAAGTATGTAAAATTCAAATTTCAGAGTCCATAAATAAAGTTTTATTAGAACACACAGCCACACTCAGGTCACTTTTGCATTACAAGAGCAGAGTTGAGTAGAGATAAGAGACTGTAAGGACCACGAAGTCTAAAGTGTTTAACATCTGACTTTTCATAGGGTCAGAGTCAAGGTCAGAACATCCATCTGTGTGTTGCTTTCCTCCCTCATCTGCCTACATACCCACCTGGCCCCCAGGCACCTTCCTCAGGAACGTCCCTTCCATCCATTCCCTTGCTTTAGAAAAAGAAAATCATTGCTCATATATTTAAGTACCCCAAAACTATGTTATTTAGTTTTGCTTGTTTTTGAGCTTTATGAAAATGGTATTATGCTGCATGTAACTTGCTTTAGTCACTCAAAATTCTATTTATAAAGACTCATTCATGTTATTGTATATAACGAGAATGCATTCTTTCGATGATTGTATAATTTTATAAATATGTCATAATTTTTAAAAAGAGATTTATTTATTTATTTGGCAGATAGATCACAAGTAGGCAGAGAGGGAGGCAGAGAGAGAAGGGAAGCAAGCTCCCTGCTGAACAGAGAGTCCGATGTGGGGCTCGATCCCAGGACCCTGGGATCATGACCTGAGCCAAAGGCAGAGGCTTAACCCACTGAGCCACTCAAGTCCCCCATAAATATACCATAATTTATCAATCCATCCTGAACCAAAGGACATTTGAGATGTTTCTGGGTTTTTTTGCAATTATAGACAATGTTGATATGAATGCTCCTGTGTGTGTGTGTCCTGTGGAAGTTTAAAAAATGTTGTTGTCTTTTTTTATTGGGTCATAGTTCTTCGCATAGTCTAAATAATAATTTTTGGTCACTTGTATATATTACAAATGTCTGCTTTGTTTGTAACCTTTTTCTCTTTTGCATTGTAGTTTTTTCAGTCTTTTGAGTAATAAGCAAAAAAATTCTTACCTTAATTTGGTTAAATGTACAGCTCATTTCTTATATAGTTAACATTTTTTTTTACTCCTGATTAAAGAAGCCCCTCCCTGCCCCAGTACCCTACAGATACTTTCTCACCTTTTATTCTGGGAGTTTTAAGTGTCTATTTAAGTCTAATCTATCAAGAACTGTCTCCTGCATTTGTTGTTGAGGTCATGGTCCAACTATGAGTTCTGTGACCTGATGCCCTTCATTCCAAGGTCCATCTTTTTCCCTTGGATCTGCACCGCCGCCTCTGTCCTACACCGAGTTTCCACATGTCCTCGCATCTGTTCCTGGGCTCTCTGTTCTGTTCCATTGATCAAGGGGTCTGTCCCCATGCAAATACCACACTGTCTTTGTCACAGAAGGTTTATAAAAGCTCTCAATACCTGGTAGGACTAGTATTTAATTTAACATCACACAAAGTTTTATAAAGTTTTTCTGGGAAGAAACTCTGTATATCATTTATTAGATTTATTTCTAGGTAGCTTGCTTTGTGTTGGCTTCTTATTTTATAATTTTATTTATTATTATTTTTATTTTTTTAAAGGGGGCTCCGTGCGCAACATGGGGCTTGAACTCACAACCTTGAGATCAAGAGTTGTTTGCTCTACCAATTGAGCCAACCAGGTGCCGCTGTTTGCTTTTTAGGTGGTTTTGTTTGTTGCCAGAGTATAAAGATGTAGTTGATTTGTTTATATCAGTTTATAGCCAGTCTCCTTGCTAAACTTTCTTATTATTTCTGATAGTACATATGTAGATCCTTTTGGGTTTTCTGTTCAGACGATCATATTACTTGCTATAAAAATAGTTTCTTCCTTTTTTTCCCTTCCTTCCTTCCTTCCTTCCTTTTTTTCTTCTTTTTTAAAGATTTTATTTATTTTTTTGACAGAGACACACACACACACACACACACACACACACAGCAAGAGAGGGAACACAGCATGAGGAGTAGGAGAGGGAGAAGCAGGCTTCCCGCCTAGCAGGGAGCCTGTATGCAGGGCTCAATCCCAGGACTCTGGGATCATGACCTGAGCCAAAGACAGACGCTTAATGACTGAGCTACCCAGGCGCCCCAGTTTCTTCCTTTTCTGATCCTTTGTTTTTTATGTCTTTTCTGCTTGACTAAGTGCTGGGTCTTGCAGTACAATGTAATGGTCTTTTCCATCTTATTTATAGGGGATACTTTCAGGAATTCTTTAAAAAATATAATTGATCAAGTTAAGTTCTCTTCTGCTCCTGGTTTGTGAAGAGGGTTATTTCTTATTTTTAAATCATGAATGCATGTTGAATTTTACCAAATGATTTTTCTGGGGGAGAAAAGAATAATTTGTCAATGAGTCAGCCCATGGTTCTATCATCTTTGATTTGGATCTGAACTTCAGCCACAATCCAAGAAAATTACTGCCTGAAAGAAATCTAATGTAATAATAGGTATTTCTGTTTTCCTCCCTTTTTTAAAGGATGCGTTTTTTTAAATGATTTGGTGTATGAAGTAATTACATGTGCTCAGAATAAAAATTGTTTTAATTTAAATAGATAAAGTACCTTCATTAATCTTCGGATCTTGTGGATTTCCAGTGCCACCAAGAACAAGGCTGGGGTGTAGATTCCAACATGGCTTCCCCTGTCAGCTTTGGACATTTGGTGTAAAATTCTCTGTGGTCCATTACCCACATACACAAAGGGATTGGTCATGCTCTACCATCTCGGGTCACCCTTGATAACTCATCTGTCCCAGATTAGAACCGTAGAAAGTCCAGTTTATTCTGTGTTTATTACACAGACTGTACAATACTTTATCATAGTATATTTTGGTATAATGTGTAAAACTTAAAAAGGAAAAACACAGGGACTTGGGGTATGAGTCATTTTCCCCCAAGTGACAGTTAACAAAGAAAGAAAATCAAGACAGAATAATATGATCCCCTTTAGGGATTAATTTAGGAATCTGATAAGTTTGGTAGATATGAGTTTTTACAAAAATAAGTGAGCATATTTCGGGATGTACAAATTGGAAACAGTTTTCTAAATGCTTAAAGGCAAGCTTAGGTTACTTCTGAAACAAATTTTTATTTTCTTGTCTGGTGGAAGGTATCATTCTGATGGAAACTTTTGATATGAGGGGCACATGGCTGCTAGAATGGGTTTCTTTCTTCTGTGCAGAGCAGAGCTTTCCATTGTGGGTGAGAAGTACCCATGGACCTCAGCTCGGGTGAGTTAAATGTGGTCTGTGTGTGTTGGGGTGGGGAGAGTGATCATTACTGACATTTTTAAAAAAGGGCTTTAAAGTAAAACACAAAGCTTTTATTTTCACAGAAAAAAAGAATATCTTAGAAAAAAGCTTATTAAAAAAACTTCATATTACTATGGCAACATCAAATCATAAAGGCTTAATCATGAAATAACATGCCATTCTTTGTAAACCATGGAAACAGACTTTAGTGCTGGGGTATGTGAAAGATTAAGAGTTTGGCATTTCTTGCTCCCAACATTTTAGTTACATAAAAATGAAGGCTATTTTTTTTTATCAATATAGATTCTGATAGCTGTATTTCAAATGAATTGTCATTGAAACCTTTCAAATATGTTTCTCACATATTCATTGGAGAGGCTGATGCTGGCTCTGAAATACAGATGACCCCTCCACTGAACTAGCATCCCTCCAGTGCTCTGCACCTGGCACCATGCGAGGGCACAGAGATAAAGGACTCGCTGCCCATCTGAGGGCTTTGAGTCCAGGGGACTGACCGGTACAACCCGAAAAGAGCCATAGTGTCACCGAGACCTACTGTGTGCCAGGAACACCATTGTGAAAGTAGTTGGAAGGAGTCTCCCAGCCTGGTAGGGAGGCAGCTGTTGTGATGGGATGGACGTGGGGCTCTGTGTGGTGGGAGGCCCACTGGAGAAGGGGTGGAGGGAAGGCTTCCGTGCAGGGGTGGGGTGGGGTGGGGTGAGGAGGAGTTATCTACTCCCACTGTGTTTCCCAGAAGGAGCAAAGGGTCCAGGCCAAGGGGAGGGAGGGCGGGGCCTGGGAACTGAGGGCCAATGAAGGAAGCTTCAGGGCCAGCAGCAACCACATACCCAGATTTTATATGCAAGGTTGGGAAGCTTGGATGTTAAACTGTGGACACTGACTTTGGAACCAGGCAAGGGATTTGATCAGATATGCACTTGGGAGAGATCTCCCTGATTACAGTCAGGAAAATGGATTAATGAGAGGCAAGACTGGACTCCAAGCCAGATGAAGGGGCTCCTACAGGAGTTGGGGTGAGCCTGTTGGGGTGGGGCATGAAACCTGGTTTCTGACCTGGGCAGCTGGGGGAAGTGGGGTGTACGCAGAGCCAAAGCCCTGCAGGAGATGATGGAAGAGGAAGGAGCTGGTTCAGTGTCAGCACGGACCCTTGGGCGGGGGGGTTTCCCGCACAGGGTCATGTTGGTGGTGGGAAAGAGGGATGGAGGAAAGTGGTCTCGCAGACGCCAGGGCAGGGTTTCCAGAATCCAGTAGAGGAGAGAAGCGTCAGGATGGCCAAAGGTCACCAAGAGACCAGGAAGTGACAATAAAACATACCTTAGGTTTAGTAACAAATAGTCAACCTTCC